TCTACTCTTCTTTCTTCTAATCTTCCTCTTCTCTCTGCCTCTTCCCTGCTCTGCTTTTCATCTGTCCATATTGTCGGAAGTTTGACTTCTAAACTTCCTTCGATTATATCATATTTTATAATATATATATATATTATGTGTGTGTCTGTCTGTCCGTATCGTTTACATGAATTCAATCTAGTACCAATAATACTAGAGATGGAGGTGACTGTCAAAAAAACCGCCGTGTCTCTTTTCTTTGTACACTGTCCGTTTATCTGTTGGTTCAGTCTTGCGCATTCTGTCTCTTTCACTGAGGTCCCAAATCTCACCAGAAAGGAATGGCAGAAAGCAGAAAATCAGAAGAACATCAAATCAACGAATCTCTCACCATGGAGGAGTCCGAGACGTACTCATAGTGGTCAGGTCACAAACAGAGGGGTCATTGCCAAGAAAATCACAACAACCCCCCAAAAAAGAATGAGAGCCTGTAGCAGAGGTGAAAAGGTCACCTCCAATGGTACTCAGGTGCTTGGTGTTGGCACCCTTCTGAATCAGCTTTTTCCTTGCATAAAACTGCAGGATGAGGTCATTGAACACGTTTGAACTGGCAAAGGACCGGAAGGATTCACAATTTTGGCTGATTTCGGGCTACCCCCATTTGAGGAAACGTCCAGACACGAAAACCTCTGATGTTTTTCAATTGAGTCTCATCGTATCCACGCGGCCAGATTCGGCCGCCCAAAAGATGGGCGTGAAGCCCCTCTTATCTTTGATCTCCACGTCGGCTCCGCGCTTGAGGAAGACGTCCGTTGCCGCCATCTTGGTTCAGAAAACGAGCTTAACGCCCCAGAATTTTGGGTCCAAGTTCCCCCGTGATGAATCCGAAAGGTGATGCGTGGGTTCAAAACTCCTACGAGTGCTGAACTTGTTCTGGGGCATGAAAATCCCGAGCATAAATTGCCAATGGCATGTCAGCATGTACTTGGCTACTAGGCTACTTGGCTACGCAGCTGCTTAGGCCCACCCATGGTTCCGATCCTGGACCAAGAGACGTGGCCGTTACGCGCGGAGTAAAATATCGCCGTCTGCAGCCCCGTGTCCATGTGGTTTACCATGCAACCGTGCTGAAGAAGGAACTCGCACCTCAACGTGAGCCCACTGAGTGGTATCACATATAATATCACTCATATAATATCACTCATACAACAAGGCAAAATTGTGAGTGGAAAATTCCAACTTTAATGTGTTTTTCACAAATTGGGGATTGTGGTACATCCCAAAACTGTAATGTGCAAAACGATGACAAACTTTGTGACTTTGGAAGATGTTCAAACCTGACTAAACCCGACCACAGCCAAGCCGCAATTCTGCATTGCCATCCCTGGCTGCATAGAATATGGACGTTTGCTTGTGCTTGTCCACATCGGTGGCCTTCAGACCTAGCTTCACCAGCAACTGGCTCACCTCAGTCTGAGCAAACTGGAGGATCAGTATGGGTCAAACTTGGGGACCGAAAAAGATTCCGTTGGTGCTGCAACTGACCAAAATCTGTGGCTTGGGTAATTTAGGTCAGCCACTGTTTGAATAGTTTGAATGGTACAAACTCCACCACGACCCCACCAGCGCTGCACCTCCAGGGCGTGCTGCTCATTCTGGGCAGCTTGATGTAGCAGCGTCTGCCCAGAAGGGCTGACCTGGTGCTGGGTGAGGTCGGCAAATGGTGCCCACTGTACACTTAGGAATTGATTGGACACACCCAAAAGACATCAGGAAGACAGGCTTGGGATACTAAAATGGGGTGGGACGGCAAAGCTACTGAGGGAGGACAACACCGGATAAAACAAATTCAGAGAACCCGGATCGACTTTGTTTCCATCGAGCAGGTGAAAAAAGTCTGCCAAAACAACCAGTCAGCCCGTAAAAGAAGAGGGACTGCACTGGGACTGCGAATCTGGCAAATTATTGATGGCCTGGGGGTAAAGCCTCTGAGCGTTTCTCGCACAAAGATGCACAAAGATCTTGGCAACCAAATGATGCAGCCACAACTGGAAGCAAAAGATCTGTGGCAGTTCAATCAAATATAGCAGAGAAAGGAACTGGCACGTAGCTGGTGTAGAATTGCAACTTCTAACCAAACGACACAGGTTGAGCCGCTTGAGCTATCTGAATGGCCAAGATTGCCCAAACCCACCAAGTACACCATGGCCCGCTCCGCCTGATTCTTGTTTGCTTGGTGCTTTTGAATCAAATCTTCAACGACCTGATGTTGATGATGTTGCAGCGCGTGGGAGAAAAAAGAAAACACAACAACCGTCTGCCAACCCTCTGAAGCTGATAAAATTTCACGGTGTCCCCAGCAATACAACATGTGGGAGGCACACTCTAGCGCAAATCCAGGCACTGTTCTGTCTCCTGACCCATACCTGTGAGATTTTCCAGGCACGTATTTCATTGCTACAAGAACATGCTACAGCCGTTTTTCGGTGCCAATGCCATGATCCCAGTTTCGGTCCAGCCTGAGGCGCGTTGTTTTGCGCTGCCTTCCACAGCAGCTCATCGATCATCCGCTGCGCCTCATTCACTGAGGACGCCATGGCCGGGGGATGTTGCAGTCGGCCAACTTCGGCTCCCGCTAGAGCCACAGAACCCTGCAGGTTTTTTGCGAAGATTTTGGGGACAGAAACTCGATGTTCGGAGGGCGCGGACAACCGCAACTCATTGCGAAGATCGAAAAAACAACAGACCAACACGGACCAACACACCCATTTTTGGCAGAAGTCTAAGTTCGTCACGCCAGCATTGTGGTGTGCAAACAACAGCACTTGTTAAGCTCAATCCTGATCCCAAACTGAAATAGACAGAAACCCCATGCAATCACAAATCTTCATCATTTTAGCTTCTGGTTTTAGCATTGAATTCATAAAACATAATTAAGCCATATTAAACCTTTGAAAGCCACACCCAATTTTAACCCACACCCTGTGGACCCAACGGCGTTGGACGGCACATCTTTGATCATTTCACAGGATGCTCTCCACAGGCACCTTTGGCCCGAAATCGAAGTATCTCGAATATTTCATACCAAACCTGCAAAAACGGGAGGCGAAGCCGGTGACTGGAGATGTTTTCCCACAAACTTAATGTTGTCAGACACTCGCAGACATGTTTAGCATTCAAAACAATTTACAAAGGTGTATAGCTATATGGATAGGGTTCTGCATTGGAGAGATCTTGCTGCCAAGGACAACTGATTGATGTTTAAAGATACCCAGCATGTTGTCATAAACCCAACAGTCAAAGCTTTGGTGTTTGCAATGTTCATCAAGTTTCGCATGTTTGCTAATTAACAATGAAATCAACTCCTCACTTGCAAATAGGAGCTGTTTGCTAGCTCTAGCCATGTTTATCATTCCCCTGAACATTTTGATGATCGCTCCAGTTCTTTATTAATTAAGGTGTCACTACCAGAAAAAACTGACTGGCACATGAAGCACCAAAAGAGCTATTCCCGGTGCCAGGCCTTATATTTCATGCCTTGGGCGGAGCAAATGTGCAAACAACATCTGGGGCCCAAAATTATTCAACCCCCAAAATCGTTATGGACAGAAGAAACATCTTAGCAAACAAATGCCTACTCCTGTGCGTGCCCATCGGCGACCTTTAGGCCATGTAGTGCTGAAGATAGCCAAGCGCCAAAAAAACATACCTGTTCTGTCCGCGCATAATCTGATCATTTGATTTGTTCTCGCCGAATCAAGTCTGCAGATTCAATCAAATTCGTGGTTCACCTGTGCTCAATTGTTGGCCGGTGGCTTGTGATTTGGCAATGGGTTTAGGTGTCGTTATTCATGTGTCCAAAATCGGATGCGTAAACATCCCGGTACCGACTCACACTATCCCTACACCTTTCATGCTTTCATTCCCACCAGTGCCAGCAGCTTCACCATGCTTCATCCATCCAACACAGGGGATCCAGTCGCGTAGCCCCAGTTTTTCCAGGGCCGAGGTGCCAAGTAGAAAGTGTCAGTTAGCACTTGCAATGATAACGATAATAAACCATCGTACATTTAGATTTCTTTTTTGCCGTCAAAATGATTTTATTGCCAAAATCATCATCTGGCAGAGCGGTTCAAGACTTCACATGCCACATGCAGGCTGCTATCAAATGCGTTCCTGCCATGGTTTTCGCTCCAGTGTTTACCAACAAAAAACATCAAATTCTACGAGAAAAGAAACTGATAACTCACTGATAACAACGAAACTAACGTTAAACGACCTAAGTGTTTATTAAAAACCCATGCCAAAAAACAAGGAAAAAATCAGCGTCCAAGAAACTGCCAACGCTGCATTCCCAGGTCTTCGGTGGTTTTACCTCGACCGTGGAGTTGCGTGACGTTAAGTCCACAAGACTGGGATGTGGACATCTTGACTTCTTGCAATTCAAAAGTTGGAACTGAGCCAATTGAAACCAGATTTCAAGCCCCATTTCATCAAGAAAAGGGTGACTTGTAAAATAGGGAATTTGAGATATTTGAGTCACACTATTCAACATAGAATTGTTAACCCACCAAAGGCTTTGGAGGTCATGAAAACGTGGTAAATGTTTGTAAATGCCCAGT